TTTAAATACTGTAACAAAAGCCCATCTAGTAACTGATTTTTCCGAGAATGAGAGCAGACTTAGTTATGTTTAGTCACATATTGGTGTGTCTGGCAATTAATGTAATTAGTATTAAACTAAAAAAATATGTGAGAAAATCATGCATCTGGTTATTATAGGAATATAGTTAGTGATTAGTTTAAATTAAAAATTAAATAGTTAATATTAATGCAATGGTATGAGATGGTAATTCTTTAGAAAAAATCAGGACTATTTCAATTTTGATTTCGAAGGTTTAGTATTTACAGTATACTTTGTAATCATATTCTAAGATGGTCGTATGGAAACTCTTAAATTAATAAAATAAGGTATATGAAAACACTTAATGATAGCTATTGTAAATAAGGGAAACCGTGTTTTTAGTTGTTTGTTTCCCTTGAAATTTGGAAGTTTGGTCCGTATATGGCGCTATTGAATTTTGTGGTTTTGATTTCGAGTTATTGCAGGTGGTTTAATAATGTTATAAAACTACTGTGTTTTGATCAGTGGCATGACTTGTAAATATTAAGGAAAATTTAGAGTCAATTCATATTTGTACTCTCCCTTTAATAGTTTAGATTATGTATTTCTATTTTTAGTTTTATATTTTAATGTAAATTTTTATTAATTAATACTGTTGTAATATTTTTATATATGTGTTAGTTATTTAGAAAATTTTTATGAATTTTTATTAACTGTAACAAATATAAGGACCATAATGTAATATACAAATAATTTGGAAGTTAGTTTTGAAATTTTTCTTATGGAGAAGAACACTTTGAAAATTCAAATACATAATTTGATATATTTTGATAAATCCAAAAAACCAAAATCTGAATGGACCAAACCGAAACTCGAAAGGGATCCCGAACGCCTAGACCTATCTATCTATCTATCTATTTATCTATCTATCTTCTATATATATAAAAAATAGATTCCTTCATTTTCCTTCTGCCATGTCATCAAATAGATGAACAAGAGCATGACACATGTCTTCTATTGATATCCCGTATTTTGTTGTTTTCGACTTTGTAACATTTTGTGGGCTTATGTTCTTTTAAGCCCAAAACATCTTTCCTTCCCTTATCATCATCGTCGAATCAGTTACCTAATCCTTGCCGACTTTGAAAAACCTCCATTGAAACGTTTCATTATGCTTTCACATCAAGCAATAATTCTTCCCATTATGTCCTCCAATTCCCAAAACCCACTACGTCTTATTTAATTTCTCTTTAGCACCTCCTCTAGGTTTCTGATCTTATAAATAGGGATGAAAGCATCAACACATCTCATCCCTTCCTTGACTTCTTTGCTTTATTTTCTTTTAACCATTGTTACGACGATCGCGAATTCTGAACTGCTTATTTATGGGCTGAAATCTGGTCGTTGTAGGAAAACTGTTGTGGCGCATCATCTTTGCTACTGGGAGGCCCGGAGAGTGGAGAAAAGTGGGAGAGTTCATGGGTATTGACTTTCTTTTGCTACATGGAAGGTTTTCTTGCTAAATTTAAAATCACAATCGCTGTTCCACTTTTTTCAACTATTTATTCTATTCTCAAATTTTGTTCAACTTCTACGAATATTCAGGATGCGAAACTAAAAATGGCACAGCTGAAGAGCTAGAACGCTCTGTGAACGTACGCCTCTCTCAAACCTTATGAAGAATCATTGTTCTAGAGGCCCACGTTTTCTATGATCCTTGACATTGTTCTTCACTAATCTCACATACTTTTTCTAACTTCTAGCTTACCCGGTTCACCTATCCAACTTTCATGTCCGAAAGCAAACCAACCTGAAGTGAAAATCAGGGAACTGCAGAGAAAACATAAGCAAGTGTTGCAAAAATTACTACTCCACAACGAGCTTATTCAAAAGGTGCTACATAGTCTTACAAAAGCAACAATCACTTAATCTTCAATATACTGTCTCTGCGTTGTTGATGCAGTTAGGAGCTATAACAAAATTACATTCTTTGGCTAGATCACATTATTTTTCATTTACTGTGGTATTTTATGACTGGGGCAACAACAATATCTGCAACATCCAGGACGGGAAGGACGAAGGTATCTATCTTAACTTTAACCAAACTATTTTTGAGCTCTCAGTTTTTGTATATATTTCGTACTAATGAATAATGAGTTGTGAAGTGTAGGTACCTCCTTCACAAGCAAGTGCTGTGTTTTACTATTTAATAAATTGGGTTTAAAATTTTAATATATAAAAATTATTATGTTTGCTATCGTGATTCACCACTATTTATATAACTACCTGCGTAACCCCCGCGCAAACGCGGAGCCGGGATATGTGTTGTTTTCGGTTGTTGGTTTAATGGGTTATTCTAATAATACAAAATAATGATGAAATAGAAAGAATGTATCAAGAGTGCAAAGTAAAAATATAGTATATATAATGTGTTAAATGTTATTTATATGCGAAATAAGGTTTATAGGAATAACTAAATTATAATATAGTTTTTAGTGTATAAAAATAGATGTCTATATTGTTTTTTATGTTGGAAATAGTTTTTATATCGGATGTCAAAACTTGATATAAATATTTATTTATAGTATTTATATTTGTACTAAACGATTTATCAATTTGAAAATAACTTTAATTTAAGTAATATTTGTTGTTTAGGTTTCAATAGATATGTTTGGATATGTTTTTTTGTAAGTTTGGATTTTTTTCATGAATAATGTGTTATTTTTATTTATACCGTCATCGACTGTGGAAATCCATCCACCGGAGTCTGATAAAAATTAAATTATAGTAACTATTAAAAATTGAAGAGAAATTACATAGTTATTTTATAAATAACAAAACTATTTTTTTATTTTATTTCAAATACATAATTTTTTGAAAATATATATTAGGAAATATGTTCTAATAGTAAAAATATATATTAGGACATTATAGTGCCGCGTGAGACTCGTTTTTTTTTTTTGGCTGATCGTTTTTTGATCTATTTTTAATTGTTTTTTGGTTTGAGTTTGTCAAATTTTAGGATTTTTTCACTATTTTGAGCTTTAAACAATAAGTCCAGAAGAAAAAAACATAAAAACATTAAAACTAAAAAGCCCATATGATAATAATCCAAACAAAAAAAGCTAAAATACATAACAGCTGCGTGGTTTGAACCCACACACTTGCAGGCTTAATTAGATGCGTTATAACACTTTGCTAAAGTGTATTCATTGTTCATAAACATTTTAAAAAACTATAAACTTTTAAAATTTAAACACGGGGACCCACAAACTTGCTAACGTGGACAGCTTTAAAAACCTTAGAAGTAAACTATTATAATATAGATTCAAGTCAAAATGTATAGTTAGCTATAAAAAAGTCACCACTCCTTACTGCAATCCTCCTAACAAGATCGCATCTCTCAACTGAGGAAAAGAGCGACGGTATTATGCTACCAATTGTGGTGCAGGTGAAAAGTGTAACGTCTGCTATTTTGTGCTCTTAAGGAGGCCCATCGGATCTGTGGCCGCCTCAGGAAGATGGAGTTTCCATTAGGATTAATTGTTATGTCTACCCAAAAAAAAAACCACCTCATCAGTATTCTCTTTTGACACCGTATGAAGAAATTGTTTGTAAACTTAACATCTATGTCATAATTTATTAAATATTAGTAAATTGTTTAAAATTCTTCAATTTTTAGTATCTAAACTAAACCTATAATCAGAACAATTAATAACTCCTAAACAATTATAATTAATATTTTATTTAATTAAAGCCAAAATTATGACATTAATATTTTTGTTAACAAATAATCATTTAGTGAAAATATATAATATAATTCTTTTGTTAACAAAATCTATTTAGCAAACTCAACTTTAGAAATATTAACAAGAAAATAATGGAAAATAGCAATCAAAATAATTAATACATAATAAAAAAATATTTTTCTAAAAAAATTACAACATTTCATGAATCAAATAGTAATACATAACCAAAATTAAAACATCAATACACACCTAAATAAAGCGAAATAGCACCTCATACCGTTTTCTGAACTTTGAAATTAAAGTGATCAGTTAAAGTGTCGAGACAAGCGTCATAATACTTAACAACTCTACAAAGAACACATAAAAACATATTGATAATTGATGATATAAATTAAATCAAAGAAATAAAGTAATTATACTGTCTAAATGAATAAAAAAATCATTCATAAAATCACAAGTATTTTATTTTACAATTTAGTCAATTTAATGACTTTGTTTTAAATATTGTAACGCCGTATATAAACAAAAACACACATAAATAAGGATTCACAAAAAAATACACAATCCTTTGAATCTAAAACAAATAAATTAAAATTAAAATAATTAATTGAATTAACACCGCAAAAATAAAATAGCCCACTAAATTTGTATATTATATTATGAAATTTAGTTACTCGCAACGAAAATATTGAATATCATAACATCAAATAATTTTAATCGTGTTGATAAACATAATAAGAGAAATCAAGGAAATAACAATTTTAAAAAAAAAATATTTAGTAAAAGTTTTAATAATAAACATAAATTTAAAAATATATAATCGGTATAATAATTAAACTAAAAAAACACCGAGAGAAGTTAAATAATTATATTTTCTTAAAAAGTATTATAATTAGATAACTCTGTAATTTCTAAAATAAATAGTTAAACACACATAGATGAAATTGTTGTAAAATATGAATTTTAGTAGTATTTTTTATTAAAATAAATTAAAGATTAAGTTAAATTTATATTATTAGTTTATTTGGTTTACCCTAGTTTTTAATAGTTTAGAAGGGTGTGTTCTAATTTTAATAAAATCTTAAATTAAGTTTTTTTCTTTTTTACATTCCTGAACTGAGAAGAACACTAGATCGCCAAAAAGACCAAATATCACTTGACTGACTTGACTCCCTTTGGGTTACCATGGCTACGACGTAGTGTAACGCTCTGCAATGATTGGTTAGAACTTGCTTCAGGAAGGAAATCTTCTCAATGGATCTCCTCTCTGGTAAGTCGCACTGGTTTGTTTTGTAGATACACAACCTCTCTGTCTGCTACATTTATAAGATACTGCTCTGGTCCTTCTTCATCTGACACAGAAGACGCCTCTGAGTTTGATTCATCCTCATCTACACTTGGAGAAATTAGGAAGCCATTTCATAAGCGAAATGTTCATCGTAAAATTAGGAGCTTACCAGAAAATTGAAGGCGTTCGGAAGGAGCACTAACAGCTGTAAGCTGAATGCTCTCTGGCAAAAGACAATTACAGAAGGAACCTGGAACTCAAAAGGACACGATTTGTTAGTTGTAATGATCGGGTGAGATAACAAGGCAAAAGATTTTTATATCTATTTTTACCGACTCGGGCCAGGCGATTGATCCAACCTGGAATAGGCTTTCCAGTAAGCTGGAAGCATACTTCTTCGGTGAAATGGTTACAGTTCTTGGCAATCAAGTGGTAAGTGTCACCATGGTATTTTCTTGAAAGCTTCTCCATGTATGTGCGGAACTCAGAACGGGACATGGTTGTAGTTCCCAACAAAACGGAGCGTCTAAAGATGAAACCTGGACAGTTCTTAGGTTCTACCTCATATACCCCACTCGTTGGGTACTCGTGAGCTCCATAGCAATACTCCAAACCATGAGCTGCATAAAAGTTGAGAAAACTGAGTTCAAACAAACATTTAAAAAAAAAAAAAAAAGCAATGAACACTCAAGCCTGGGATAACATTATAAAGGCTGAGTTACAGAGAATCATGGAAGGCTACTGCAAAAATAGTCCTACATATAAGTTATATCAGTCAATAATCTCCTCCTCAGTAGAGCTTAGCATTGACGGTAAATCATTAAAGCACACGACTTTCTAAGACAGTACAATCTCTTTGAAAGCATCCTTAAGTATTATACATACAATGCTCTACGAGTGAGTTTGCAGGATATACAAACTCGTAAAAATGTTTTTTTTTTTTTTTAATTTGTAGAAGAGAGCAAGAGTTATGAGCAGTCAAGCTTGGGAGAATATTAAACAATATAGCAGATAAAAACCACAGGATCAGTTCTTAGTTCTAAAATCTATATCCATAAACAACCCTTCCCTGAGCTTAGCATTGAATCAGAACAATCTACTGTTCAACTTCAAAGGCATCTCAATGTAGTTTGCAGGAGGATTATAGAGAATGAACATACACTCGATTCCAGAATGGAAAATGCCGATACCAAACCAATAAAGGTAATTATTGACAGGGGTTAGATCATAGACATTGAGATAAAGCCTGGCCTCCTCCTCCTCTCCACTGTTATCTTCCTTCTCATCACTTGAGCATGAGCTTGTGCTCAAAGTAGGCACCCACATCTCTAACAGACACAATCTCAAAATTCAAGCTCACGATCGAATCATCATCAGCATCACTTTTCTTCCTAAACTCTCTGCAAAGTAAAGATGAGAATCACTGGAACCGAAGGATTAGAACATTACCAATCCTAGTGAGAATAAATCGAAGGATTTGATTGTGAATCTTTCCAAATGTGTAAACCTGGGAAAGTTTATCAATCAAACAGGAGAAATGGGAAGTAAATCTAACGCATATTGCTCGAATTGCAGATCGAGAAGCACACGAACGAATTTGAAATTGAAAAAGTAAATTGGTAAACAGAAGGATGCGAAGAAGAAAAATGATCAGAGAGCTTACGTGATAGAGTCGGAGGATTCCGAAGAGATTGGGAGAATGAGTACTTTATTTGTTTTTCAAAGATATCATTATTTTAATAATAATCTCATTATTTGAGGAGAACTTTTATAAATAAATCTTTAGTTCATGTGTTAATAACAAGATTGTCATTTCTTAGGTGTCAACACCATATTCACTCTCAGCCACCTTAACTAAAAATCCTCCACCTTAACTAAAAATCCTTATGTTACTAGACTAATTACATATATTGCCATTGTCTATTAAATTGTAACTTAACATAAAATACTACATGTTTCATATAAACTATATAAAACGATATACATATTATTGTAACGATACATATTATAGCATATTATACAAACATATTAAGCGTATATTAACATAAATACCATATGATTCATATAAAATATATATAACAATATACATATTATTGTAACGATACATATTATAGCATATTATACAAACATATTACAGCATATATTAACATAAAATACTATATGATTCATATAAAATATATATAATGATACAAACATATTATATTGAAATATAATTATAATATATATAAACATAATATCATTTAATTGTGTTATTGAATATAAAATTTTAAAAAAAAGTTCTGGTCATTGGTATATAATAATTTATTTTAAGAAATTATTTTTACTTATTTTAGACTACTTTTATATTTATCCTTTTATTCCTTATAACAAATTAATTGATTTAAAAAAAATATTTTTACTTATTTTAGACTACTTTTATATTAATCGATATTGTTTTCCCTTATAATAAATAGTTAGTATTTCATTTAACCCAAGATGATAAACAATACATAGTTAATTTTATCCAATATATAACACATAGTTTCAAATTAGGAAGCATTGATTATTATTCTTTGTTGATTTTTGGAATCAATCAACATTATTTCTTTCCTTATATTTCATATCGTATTTAATTGTGTAATTGAATAAAAAATTACACATAGTTTCAAATTAGGAAGCATTGATTATTATTCATTGATTTGTTGATTTTTGGAATCAATCAACATTATTTCTTTCCTTATATTTCATATCGTATTTAATTGTGTAATTGAATCAAAAATTAAAAAAATGAAATTCGATCATTAGCATATAAAATTGATTTCAAGAAATTATTTTTAATTATTTTAGACCACTTTATATTTATTATTTTATTCCTTATAACAAATTAATTGCTTTCATTTATAACAAATCGTTATTATTCCATTTAACCCAAGCCGATAAACAATACATATGTAACATAGCTAATTTTGTCCATTATATAATACATAGTTTCAAATTAGGTTCTGAATATAATTGATGATGTAAATTAGATATCACGTATTTCCTGTATATAAAAAAAGTTATATTAAGTGTGTTTTAATGTTAAACAATTATGATTATATTAAAATAAAGTTATATTATTCGATTGACTGAATCATATTAATGTCTGATTTATTTTTCGTTTGATTTAATGAAATTAAGTGTGTTTTCAGTCAATTTCCTATATTTGATCTTTCTGATTGTTTATTTACAGCAAATTTCTATATTGCAAATAAAATATTTCCTGTAATATCTCTGCATTTAGTGATAAACCATTATATAGTGTAATCACTGCAAGATTCTTGCAAGAAATTTAAATCTTTGAAGGAGAATAATATGATAACAACTGATTGATTTCACGATCACATTATAACCTTCCATCTATAAAATTCGTGTAGTTTTTTTTTCTTACTATATATAAGTGTGGTATCAATTACATCTGATTTGAAAATATATAAATTATACTTGGAGTGATTTGTCTATCAAAATAATGAAATAAATATATATATTTTATTAAATCAAATAGTTGGTGGAGCATGTATATATGTATTATGTATATATATTATTGGAAGATCATGTATATTATACTTGGTGGGACAACGATCTTATGCTATCCTCTTCTTATTATTTGAGGAGAACTTTTGATATTAAACTTTGTGTTCATGTGTGATTCACCATTATGCTATTACTGATGTGTCATCACCACAATCCACCTTATTACATTTTTTAAAAAACTTCTTTCTTGCCTAGACATATTACATCTCATGCCATTGTAGCTAAACATATAGTTTTACTTTCATTTTATGCATCATGTACATCTATGTATTTATTACTAATTTTTCTTCATGATTTCAGCTGTTATGGAAATCAATAAATGGAAATAACTAGATAACGTAAATGGAGAAATTTTGTCTAATCTATGTGAAAAATATTGAAAATTGGCTACAAGTACATATTTTTAAAAAAAGAAGATTATGTATCGGTAATTACTCATGTAAATTTAAAATGATTATAATGGCTAATTATAAAATTACCATTCATTAGGCGATTTTGATTTTTTTTTCTAATATAAGCAAGATTTTAGGTATATAAATACCCCCTATTTTGGGGAATTTTTTTGAACTTTCAGTTTTATTTTATATGAATATGTAATTGTTGCTAATTGTTACTATATTAATCATTTACTATATTAAACATAATAAATTGGTGAGATATATTTTCACATATTTGCCTTTTATAAAAATTTCCTACAGTATCACAATTATTGTATGGCATACAGTTCATTTATCTCTCAAATATATTGGATTCATCGAAAACAATTCATATATTAACTACATCATATATTATTATACAGAAAATATTAACTTATTTAATATCAAGTTAAGAAACTAAATAAGTTAACAACAACAGATTAAGAGGCCTAAGACTAAAATAATAATTGCCAAGTGTAATTTACAGTTAATGATATTTTGTATTGTCATTTGTATAAATTATTTAATAGATCGATTTAATAATAATTTCCTAAGGCAAGTGTCCTTTTATAACACAATTACGTTTTCACAGAGAATCATAAATCTATTGACATTGGTGTTAATACAATTCAATGCATAAAGTAGAGTATGAATGCAAATTTAATCTTACCTTATTCTGGTTGGGAAGAAGCAAAATTAATAGTTGCTTCCACAAAAAATAGAGATACTTACGATATATATGCATTAAACTCTCCCCAAATGTACTGCAAGTTCTAATAATTATCAAATATAAATAATGTAGTTAATATATTATTTCCTCTCCATGCACGTCTACCATTAATACATATTGATTGTATATTCTGATTGTCTAATAATGCTTAACATTATATATACTATACTTCGTCAATGCATTTCGAGGCTTTCGTAAACCAAACAATAATTTTTTTCTTACCTTTATTTGCAATGGGTACTTAGGCTGTTCAAACCTTTGTTTCCAGTTCGGGTGAAGGTGATATGCAAAGGGAAGACAGTTGTCGGATCAAGGTTCCATAAAGCTCACCTGATTTTCGGAGATAAGAAGGTCACCCGCACTTATATTCATCACTTTACAGTTATATTCATATTTTTAAAATAGAATGAACTAATGCATTTCGTCATGTCTCACGTAGGGCAATACCATTTAAGCCCAATTTTTGAGAGATTTGGATGCATCAACTGAGATTCCTTTGGAGGAAGGTCACTGCTCTGATATTAAGAATTTTGAGCTATCTTATGCATCAGAGTGTGTTATGTTGACAAGGAACCACTACAATATTAACCTCAGTAGCTCCTCCGTCATTGTAAAGATCGATCCAATTCAACATCCAGCTTTTTTTTTCTAAACTTCCTTGATCTCTATAATGGGTTTCATCATCCTAAGTTTTCAATTGGTATGTTTATATTCTATCTTATTTAATATAATTCAAGATCTACCCAATAACCGTGACTAATTTGTATTAATAATATTCACGAAGTTAACATATGTTAATGTTTTATATTATAATCAAATATTTATGGAGCTGTTGTTGGAGTAAGATATCTTGAAGATTGTATGACAGAACCTACAAACGGGAATAATGATTTCGTCGACCATAAAATATGTTTCTTTGTACGACACATGGAGTAAGTATTTCACATTTAAATCTGAGAGAGGTTAATTTTTTTTATCCCATGGTCTGAAATAATTTTTTTTTCAGTAACGTCGTCATTAATGGTACACTTGCGCATGTTTTCCATAATTTATGGAATTCTACAAATGTAGACGTTTTACTATGTGTTTTACAGTTTTGGAAAATCTATTGGGAAGTATATAATGTACAATAATTTTTTTTCCGAAAGTTCTAACTGATATTGCGTTTATAGCTTTATTTGATATTAAATCAACTTTCATAAAAAGGTTGATTGAAGAATATTACTAACATTGATGGTTATTCCAAAATTATTTTTGAGCCCAACGATGTTCCGAAAATTGATTCTTTCAGAATGAGGTTAAACATTACATTAAAAGGTTATTATTCAAAATGTGTATAAATTCAAAATCTGATAATTTTTTTACGCAATATAGGATTGCAGATGGAAATTTCTGAAGATGGTATTCACAAAAGTTGGTTTTCATACATTTTTAATTTAATTTTGTTTTTCCTATATATATTTTTTACTGTTTTCTTTTAGTAGTCTATTTTTTGTTTCGTTTTATCAGATATCTATAAGACAAACGGTGAAAATAATACTTTTGCAGCTATATTTCATTTCATATTTATTTAATAATTTATTTTATATGTCTATATGCTTTTTTATTACTGATTCACGTCCACTATCTATAATTCAATTAAACAAATTAATACACCATATTAAAAAAGATTGAAGTCTAAGTCATCAATTATATCTTAATACTCAATTTCGATAAAACCCTTATTTATAATATTTTGAATTTATTTGTATGGTTATTGTGCATTCATCTCACTCCGCGCAGGGCGCGGGTCATCACCTAGTAATAATAATAATACACATAAGTGAAAATGAACATTCTAATATAAATATACAATACATTTAGGGACAAGTCTCTCAAATAGACTTTTAAAATTTTTGTCACAAAAATAGAACTCAAAAAATTGAATTACCAAAATAGGATTTTTTTTTTTAATTTTTTTTTCAAAAAAAATTTGAAATTTTATTTCGTAAACTCTAAACTTTAAACCCTAAAGCTTAAAACCTAAACCCGAAACCTCACATCTTAATCCTAATGTCTAAGGATGAGATCAGGATCATCTATCTCTGTATAGAATGATCATTGGCTTCCAACCATTCGCCGAGACCAAGAAATAAAAAGCAACATGACACTTTCCCGGACTTTAAAGTAGAATCTCTTATCAATGTGGGCTCGCGAAGCTGGAATTTCCAGGCAATCAGGGCTTTCGTGGATCCTCAAGATGTAAAACTTATTGAACGTACATCTTGAAGTAGGATTTTTATGGAAGATCGGGACGGACAATACTTCACAAATAACAGAAAATAACGATTCGATCGGAATACCAAGTAAAACGAGTATACCCGGATAAGGAAGTACCACCAGCTTTTGTTGGACCCACGGTTGATATACTCAAAGCTTTTTGTTGGAAGATGATGTGTCCTCCGAAAATAAAACACTTTTTATAGCAATTGATTCCACGATGTATCGTAGTAAAGAAAAATCTGAAATCACGAGGGATACAGAGAGACACGTGTTGTGTCCGATGTGGAGCCGAAGAGGAATCTGTAAACGACATGTTCTTTGAATGTCCTCCAGCACGACAGATTTGGGCGCTATCGAAGATACCTTCTAATCCAGCTATTTTTTTCACAACTTCTATATTCACCAATATGGAGCATTTATTTTAGAGAGTGCGCCCATTGATGGAAGATCATCAATTTGCATGGATATTATGGTACATCTGGAAATGAAGGAATAGTAAGACGTTCAGTAATTTAGATATTGGTCTTAGAGATACGCTCAAACTTGCGGAAACTGAATCAATAATTTGGGCTGAAGCTCAGATGCAGCACACACAAAGAGAAATACAACAAAGGGATGTCATTATTGTTCGGTAATTCAAGGAAGGTGGTGTTTTACTGATGGCTCCTGGAAAGACAACGAGGTCTTCTCTGTACAAGGTTGGTATAACACTTTAGAAAATTTTACTGGACTGATGTGGGCAAGGAATGTTAGAGCTAGTCTCTCGCCTTTACATTCAGAGGTGAAAGTGCTAATTTGGGTAACAGAGTCTATGAGGAATTTACGCCAGGTTCAAGTAACATTTGCAAGGGATTATTCTCAGTTGGTGAAGATGGTTTTGGAACTAGAAAAATGGTCAGCATTTTGCAATCTATCTACAAGATATTAAGACACTGAAGGAAAACTTTCTCAACTCGAAAATCATCTATGTACCAAGAACACAAAATTCACAGACGGAGTGTTTAGCACGTATTGCCAGTTCACATGGATGCAGTGCTACCAGTTTGGTCTACAGAGTTTTCATGAGTCTGTTATGTTGATGACAAGAAAAAAGATTAACTTTAGGGATATAAATGCATATTTACTTCTTTTAATAAAATAGTGAAGTTTATATTGATATTTTTATTTTTAAGGTCTATATTTACGATAGAAATCTTTTTAAGTCTATCCTACAAAAATTTCTCATATATATATAATTTGATCCAAAAAATACACAGATATTTTTTTAGCGAATCCTTGCACTATTTGCTGACCCCCACAACACGTGGTGACTCGCGATTGGTTGATATTTTTATTATTATTATTATTATCTAAAAAGAAAAAAAAAATTAATTGAAAAAAATCAAAAATTAAACACGAAAACCATTGCGGATGCTCAAACAATGAACCAAATTCCGGTTTAAGATATAGCAAAGCCATTCTAATGATCTATGGCTTGGTTGTTGTATTTACGAATTATGTAGGCAGTAAAAATATGTAGGGAGAAGTCAAACTTGGGCATTGAGGGAAAAAGTGGAAAGAATGAAGTTTGGTGCAAAAGTTTAACAGGAAGCACGTGCCATACAATACACACATACACCTTTCAAAAATTAATCCACACATGGGAAATTATCGAATTGTTCAAGTCAATAGAAAGGAGCCTCGTGTTCTTTTGATATTCTCGTTATGTGACTTTAATAGCTTTACGAGTTTGAAACTTTTTTATTTTATTTTTAAACACACGAGTTTAAAACTTGAAGTTTGAAAATCTTATTAAAAAGAAAACAAATAAATGAATATATCTTCTCCAATGTGCAACAAAAGAAAGCAAAGAGATCAAACGACTACGTGTACGCCGCATTTCCACGTCAGCGTACAACAAGCTGACCCGCCAGAGAGAATAACATTTACACAACAGTCAATTGTGGATAACCAAACGGAGGGTGTGGAGATAACGGCGATAAAAGCGGCATGCTCATAAACTCTGTCAAGTCCCAGTCATTTACCGCCGTCAAACTCGACGATTCCGTCTCAACGACGTGACTCTCCTCCGTCTTTACCACTTTCGTAACCACCTCCACTTCTTCCTCTCCGTATCGCTTCCGTTTGTTCTGTAAAACGTCATCGCGTGGATTCCACGTCCCAACCTCAAGCGGGAAATTCACAATGGCCTTTGACCCTCTGAGCTTAAACGCTGCTTGGTCGTAAGCCCTAGCGGCTTCGATTGCCGTGTCAAACGTCCCTAGCCAAACCCTAGTTCCCCGACGGTTCGGATCTCGGATCTCCGCCGCGAACTTCCCCCACGGCCTCATCCTCACTCCTCTGTAATGCCTCTTCTCTTCTGCGGCCACGTGTACGGGAAGCTGCTCCGGTTCAGAATTTCCGGTTGCGAATTGGATCCACTCGGTTCTGTTCGGCGGCTCGATCTTCAACGGCGGTTTCCGGTTCGATCGCGAGGTTGAACCAGAAACGCCACGTGGATTCGATTGGAACGTGAAGGGATCGTTCGATGGTAGTTGAATTTCAGGTTTCGTCTCCGGTTCGAATTCAAATGACTCACTCACGAGATTGGTTATTTCCGGTTTTATTTCAAATTCAGGAAAATCAAAACCGGTTTGGTCAAATGAACCGAAGATTGATAAATCGGAGATTGTTTCTGAAGCTATCCATGGATTGGTGGTGCTGACATTAGGCAGCGGAGAAGATTCGTCCAGAAGATGCTTCTTGATGAAGGAAAGAGCTGATGCTTCGCTTGGGGTGGCCATTTTGGAGAAAACAGAGAGTCTAAGGAGGGAGATGATTGATTAGTTTTCTCGAAAAAAAAGAAAGATGATTGATTAATAAAGAAAGGATTTGATTTGACAGTGGAGAAGAGAGTGGGAATGTATATATAGGGAAAGAGTCAAGTCAATGAGAGACTCTTTCAAGGCAACATCATCGAGTGCTTTTTAAAATTCAAAAACTAAATAGTCAGATGCGGAAGAGTGTATGTATATCTGTGTGTTTCATCGATTTTAAACCGTTAGTTATATTATAAACCACCAGTCAACGGTATGATCGTGTGGTTCAGTGATGGCAGCTGAGGTGAAAAATTAAACAAATAACCTAAGAAACTAGATTTTGACCCGCGCTTTTAAGCGCGGGTTTTTTTTTTGTTAACCGTAAAGCCAAATAGTTCGGAATAGATATTTTGATTGATTTTGATGGTGTTTTTAAATTTGATTGAGTTGATGGTAAAAGGGGTTTGAGATACCTTGTATTTCTAAAATGAGAGGGTTGTTGTTCTATTATTTTATTTCAGTCTTGTAAAATTAATAAAATGAATATGCTAAAAAGATCTTAAAATCAAAAGATTGTTATTAACCCATTGAGAAGCGTGGATTCTATTTTTTTATTATGCACAAATGGATACTTAATTTTTTAAATTAAAAAAAAAAATAAACGAAGTTAAATTAAACCAAATTTCATAAATAATCGATCATACCATATATCTCTAGAATCTAAAAATAGAAATCAAACCGAGAAACCAAATAGGTATTTAAATATTTTTTATATAAATTATATACCTAAAAATATTAATTATATATAATATCTAAACACTAAATAACCTAAAATACTATTTTTAACCAAA